GCACAGCAGCTGCTCCTCTCTGCTTTGGGACAGTGAGGCTGGGTGTGTTCCTGCTGCTTTCCTTGGGCTGTTCCTCTCCTGTGCCCTGGAACACGGGGGGGATGGCTGGGAATTCTCACTGAGATCACCGTGTACCACCTTTCCCTAAATTCCAGCTTTTAGCCATCCACTGGACTCTCCCTGTCTGCTAAAAAGCCCCAAAATAACCTGTTTATTTTGCTTCCTTATGATGGTAACAGTGGATTGCACTGCCTTGCCTTTTCCACAGCATCTTTGGTGTGTGACTGACCAGGACATGCTGGAAACATCCCTTTAATGTCAGCTCTGGAACGGAAAGAGGAAGAAAAAGTGTCTTTCCTTATTTACCAGTTTCTTTTTAATCCAAAAGATCTTCAGATATTCCCCATTCTAGAAGAAGAATGGAAAATGAGCATCTGGCTCTCCCTGGCTCCCAGAGTTTGGATTTGTTATTGGTCCCTGATAAATCACTGCTTTTTTCCTCAGCTGAAAATGTAGGTTTGAATTCCTGTAGCTGTTTAGGGAATGGACATTTTCTTGTGAGTGACAACAGGCCTGCTGCCAACCACAATCCAACAGATTTTATATCTCCCTCCTGCTCTCCACCTACTGGAAATTTGCAGGTAGCAATGGGTAAAATTTCCTAAAAATATAATGCTAGGAATGTCTTCAATTTTTTTTTTTTTTCTGTTTCAGGGATCACAATTGAGGTCCAAAAACTTTCTTTTTAACCCCCAGATGTTAGTTCAGATTTTGTCTGTGGATCCAGGTTTCTTAACCAGGACTAATATTTTTGAAATGTTCATTTTGGTGCTGATCTGTATGATAACAGTAACTAATGCACTGCTATAGTTTGGTTTAATTTTTACGTATTTTCAGCATAAATCGTTCTCATTCTCTTCTGCTGTTTAAAATGGAAGCTAAGGCTGATGTAGTGCTTCTGCCAGCCTCTAGTTTTGTAAAATTCTTGTCTATTCAAACATTACTTATTTACTTGTGGCAGTGAGTCACGCCAGACTAATAGATCATTTTCTCTGTGTGAGCAGTAGGTGTTGAAAGCTTAAACAGGGGCTGGTTTTTAACAGTTGCTTGTCACTGGAGTGGTATTTTTGGGGCTGGAAGGCTGCTCTAGGATGGATATCTACAGAAACCAGCTGGGTTGATGTGCTGTGTGGGCTTGTTCCTCAGTGTACCACAGGAAGGGAATTGGATTCAGCTCTTTTATTCCTGTGCAGTTCCATTCATTTCCTAACAATTATGGGAGCAAATGCTGAATTGTTGAAAGAGCAATGTTTAAACTGTGTTTATTTACACTGGGGTAGCTGTGCCTGAAAAACAAACTGGTGCTGCAAAGAAAAGTTCCCAAGGTAAATGGTAGAGGTGAAGAACACCTTGGGGGATGGTTCTGGAGGTGTTTGCTGTGCCTGAGGCCAGCACAGAGCTGGCTCCTGCCCTGAGAAAGCTGAAACCAAAGTTGGAGGTTGATTGTTGCTGCAAACAATTCTGATTATTTTATTTACATCTGTAGGATAAAAACCCTGACAGTGGAACTTAAAACCAAGCAGGAGGAAATGAAAACTGTGAAAGCTGATTTGCAGTATTTCCAGGAGGAGAAGGAAGCTGCCTACAAGCAGTCACAGGTGCTCAGGTGAGAACCCAAAAAGAAATGCTGACGTTGGAAATTTTCTATTTCTTACATATCTATTGTTAATAAAGATTTACTATAAACCTGGGCATACAGTCATTTAAACATGACTACTCTGATTTCTCAATTAAGAATGATTGTACAATTTCCTGTACAGGATTTTGAAATGCTGAAACAAACCCAGTTTTCTTCATTTATGTATAAAATCTCTAAACATTTAGATGGGGAAACTTATTATCCACATATTCAATACACAGCACATTTCATACACTTAATTATTGTAACCCAATGCAGGATAAATTATCAGATAATGGGAAAGTAGTAGTCAAGCTGAGTTTAATTCCCAAGTTTTATTTATAGAATAATTTATAAATATACATCTGGTGTATTTCCTTTCTTGCAGAACTACCTTGGAACACCATTGCTCCACCCTGAACAAGGCTGTCTCACTGTTCCCTTTCATTAGAAGTGAATTAGACAGTATTAAAGAGGTCATCTCCACCAACATGGAGAACTTTGCTGCCATGAAGGAAGAAATTTTTCGGCAAATAAAAGCCATGAGCAAAGAAGCTCTGACAGGTAAATAAATCATCCTGCAACTATTCTGGGCAAGAGAAAAAAGGATCCTCCAGGGTGATGATCCAGCATCCCTGTGGGAGCTGCTGGAGTGTCCTTCAGTGCTGCCTCCCAAACTGGGCAGGCTGCACCCCTTCCCTCCCAGCTGACTGGGAGGGCAAGTGAAGGAAAAGAGGCAAATCATGAAGGTGGTGGAATACAACCCTGCTGTTAATTGTCCAGCTGAAGTAGAACATCAGGCTCTGAGAGTAAAATTCAAAGAATTGGTCTCACTTTGAGTGCAGGACCAGCAAGGAGTTCTGGAGCAAAGCCACACCCAACAGCCCAGCTCTCCCTGCTCCTGTTCCTGAGTGAGAACAAACTCTGCCAAGTGCAGCTCTCCTTATCTGAGGGGTCCTGCAGGGGGCACGGAGCAGCCCTGGGCTGGCCAGAATTCCCTTGGGCCCAGGCTGCTTCCTGCTCCCACAAGGGCCAGGGGAGCTGGGAGCAAGGACAGCCCAGGGCTTGCTCAGGAGGGGCCGTGCCCAGCCTCAGGCTGACTCAGACTGAGCCCTGGATGCCATTTCTGCTGAGATTGGTCTCACTGCCAGCACTGTGCAGTGCTGCAATCACAGACTGCAACAGCCACAGCTTCCCAGCTGGCCCTGTGCCCAATTCACAGCTTTAAAGGCCTGCAGAAATAATAATCAGACTTACTCCTTTCCTAGAGTTTGTCAGTGTGGATGAGCTGCTGTTTCACTGAATCACAGAATATCCTGAGTTGGGGAGGATCCACAAGAATCAAGTCCAATCCTGGTCATGCACAGGACAACCCAAAAATCCCACTGTTGACCAGAATAAGCTCTGGGGATCACTTTGGTCAGGG